TCTCTCTCTCTCTCTCTCTCTCTCTCTAACACTCGCATTGACTCATATCGTTGCCATGTATGGAGAATAGTGATTGAAAAACTCCAAATTTTGGGTTTCAGAGCCGTGTCGGAGCCGTCGAAGTCGGTACTACAGTAATGCAATAAATAAATTCAATGCACCATATACTGTATATTATTGCATCTCAATAGTATAGGATAACATATTAACTAAACTAACATTTTAGTTAAATTTCATGCAAATTAGTATTGAAATATGAGAGCCGGACCCGGAGTGGTCGGCCGGTTCAGAGCCGCGGCTCCAAAATTTTATTCACTAATGCAAAGTCTGTAAACAATACACGAGAACGCAATGAAAAAGGCCTTATGTTTGCAAAGTTTGTATACAATTATATGCCCTTTGAAATGGATAATGTCTTCGTGTCATTAGAATTAAATATTTATCCATTCTTTTTGACATCTTTTTAAATGACATAAATATTCATAATAAAGAGTATTTCATATATTTTATTATGTATTCTATATTTTATTAATTTGTAACACGAAGTAATCAGTATATGTTGTTTTGAAAACACATTTTGATTAATAATATTAATAAATCAATAATAAAATATGGAAAATAATTTGTGCTCGTACTATCATGATAAGATAATTATATTCAGTTCAATTCAATGCAATGGAATAATTTTAATCTAAATAAATCCTTTAATAATTAAATAATTTCATTTATAAATTCCTTACAAATCATATAAACTATTTTTATTAATAATTATTTATTAATAAGTTAATGAAATCATTGAAACTGAAGTTGTTTTTAACTTTGGTCACAATATTACTGATAAAATGCTATACGATTAACATGTGGTAACAATACAACTATTTCACACAATTAGGGATTTATGTTGAGATTTATTTTGATTTCAATTTGATATAAATTAAAAAAATTGCTTAATTAAATTAATGTGTGCATTCATTGTTTGTATTTTAAATTCAATAATATTAATAATGAATAAATCAATTATTTTCACAGCATTTCTTATACAATGTCTGGTATTCACGACAGCTTTGGCCGACTCTGATATACAGGCCGTAGATCTGAAGGTTGAATATCTGGTCAATCCATTGGCAGTCGATATAACTCAACCACGACTTCAATGGACACTACAGGCGCTGAATAAGACAAAACAGAATTTGTCGCAAAAGGCTTATCAAATACTTGTGGCCACCGATCGGCAAAATCTGGACAAAAACATCGGTAATCTATGGGACAGTAAGAAAGTGGTGAGCGATCGGACCAATCATATTAAATATGGCGGCACACCGTTGAAGGCCGGGATGAGAGCCTATTGGAAAGTGCATGTATGGGATCAGAATGACCGGGTGCTGGACAAACATCCGGGTCATATCGGTTTCTGGGATAAAGGCTTGGATGCGAGCGATTGGACGGCTCAATGGGTCGGCGCTCCCAAAGGCACACAACAACAGGCGCTCAAAAATCTCGCAGATATTGACGCAAATGTACATAATTTATCAATTAATTTAATTTAATATATACTAATTAACTAATTGTTATTTGTTTGTCAAAAATAGTTGATTAAATCAAAGCCCGGTTTAGTGCCGGTGCTATACCTACGCAAAAGTTTTGCAACCAATTCAAAAGTAAAATCGGCTAAACTGTACGCCACAGCGCAGGGCGCCTACAAGTTGGCCATTAATGGCCGCGATATTAACAAATCAGTTCTGGACCCGGAATGGACTGACTATAACAAGACTATCCAATACCAGGCCTATGACGTGACCGATGAGTTGGCGGCCAAAAATACCATAAGCGTTACAAATTAGTAATTATTATATTTTAATTATTATATTTATATTATAGTTAACAGTAATGTATTGTCGATATTTCATCTTAACTACTAAATTGGCCAAAAAGTTACTTTAATATAGAATACGATAAATTGTGGGTTCTTTTAAATTAGAACTGATTTGTTGTACATTATATGCAACAATTGCACCATTAATTATATCCATATATTTGTCAATAATAATATAATTATCTCAAATATTTATGAGTAAATTATTAATTTTGCATTTATTTTTATTTGATACTATAAACAATGTACTCACATGGATACCAATTATCATTTATTAGTAAAACTTACAAGGTAAAACTAAAACATAATGTCACACAATTAATTTATTATTAAAGATTCTAGATTGTAGTACTTTATTGTCGGTATATCATACAAACCGTTAAACTCTCAAGAAAATTAATTTAATATATAATAATAATTTTTATTACATTATGTTAAATTAACCAGTTGTATAGAGTCTATGATTATATGATTATACCGTAATTATTTAAATATTGTAACATAAAATACATACTCATACATACGTTTATCAATTATAAAATTAATATATAATAAATAATTGTACAACATTAAATCAGTATTTAATTATTTTACAAATAGTGAGCTCGCAAATCAAAATAATTGCATGAAGTGTATACATGGTAAATATTTTTCTAAACAATGAACTTGTATCAATTAAACGCACTTGGGCCAATTCATCTTGATCAGGTATAGCATTGTACATAATGTATTTATTGTAATCCATATCCACATTAAATAATTTGACATAAATCTCCTTGCTCCAATAGTTGATTAGTCCTGATTTCATTAGATCAGACAAACTAAATTAAATATTAAATTCATATTGATTAAATATAATATATATATAACAATTAAATTTATTTAAATTATTACAATTTATTTAACTCGTGTGTATATATGGAGTGCTTTTGTAGACCAATTGTTATGGAATACGTGGTAAATGTTGTGTCAATCGATAGTTTAGGTAATGTTTGCCGTCGTATGCGATAGTAATGTAAAAAATATAACATTATAGATCGGGATCCTATTGCTGAGTAAATGTGATCGTGGTCATTTAATTTTTTGACTGCTAGCCTCGACTTGTATTGCTGAATATGGCGTCTCATTGGTCTAAAATAAATCATTTCTTCTCTCTGTAATAAATAATATATTGATAATTTAAACTAAATTTAAATAATGTAAATATTTACCTTGGTTGCTTCCATTGCCGATCCAGTTATCAATATTGTTTGCAAATACCCAGATTCCTGAGCGGTGGCCAAGTGTTCAATGGTGTGAATCCAATGCCCACTATTGCTGGCAATTATTGAATAAACACATCCGCCGTATAGTGTACTCAACACTACACATGACAGCAATAGTGTTGACAATACCATACGATTAACACTAATGTTGGCATTTAATTGATGGACACTTTGCCGAAAATATATGGACACAACTGTCCACAAGATATTTACAATTGGTATACATTTTGCGATAATTTTCAATACAACGGAAACCATGAAAATCATAATAAGAGATGCGATCCATGTGTTTGTGTCAAACGGTTTGAATAGTTTAATAAAATGCTTAAGTGTTGGTGTAGGCGATGTAAAAGTAACTTGGTCAATAGTGTGCGGATAACTTAAATCTACCACTTTCCACCTGTCAAACCAATGGGACAAATGGCCGATACCTATATCAGCTTTCTAATACATAACAATGCATTAAATCAATTTATATGATTATTTTGCATATTATTTATTAATAATTAATTAATACATACTTTGGATTGCAACATGCCGATAATGCCATCATAAGTACCATTATCCATTTTGGTACCCCATTTAAAATGTGTGTCAATTACGTTAAATGTAAAATTCCATTTTGCAGTTAACACGTTTAACAATTTAGATTCAATGCCACACACTATTTTTGTGGTATTATCAGCTGGGTCATTTCCCAAAAAAATATATGGCTCAGCCTATTATGTTAATTATTATTAATAATAATTTATTAACATGACAAAAAAATCTATAAATGTCAAATGTTATAAAAATTAATTTAAAGTTACCATAGTTGTTGCAACTGTCAAACGTTTCCCATTTAAATCCAGCATTATCCTTATTTAATAATTTTATAAATACTATTTTTAAAATATATTCTATACTAAGCCTGGCCAATCTTTTTTAGAATATCACAGATCCAGATTTACAGTGTGCTATAAAAAGGTGGCGCAACGGTCAGTAAAAAGCTTAGGTTTGTCAGTATTAAACAAGAAACACCACGTGAAGGTC